TTGATTCAGCATCGAATCTCCTTATTTCTAAAAGTGACTGCAACACACGCCACTCAGAAGATTCAAACCTGAGTTCTCTTGCGCTCAACTGTGCGTACTACCACTCTTACGAAGTGTTGAGATGTCTTTTATTTAAATATAGTTAATATTTTCAAAGCATTAACTGTATCGATTCGTTGCACTTTATGCACATTTTCGCATTCGTCACCGAGCCTTCTTGTTTCTAAAAGTGACAGAAATTTATGTCGTCAGCAGATTCAAACCTGAAATCTTCTGTGCGCACTACCACTTACAAGAGGCTGAACGGTCTTTTATTTAAATATAATTTGTATTTTCAAAACATTAACTATATTTATATAAAAGACAACTAAATTATATATACAACAGACAACTATTAATATAATATTAACTAAATTACATATATAGACAACTATTAATACTTAATTATATTATTAAATACATTAATATTTAATTAACATATTTTTAAATCTATTAATATTTGAAAAACCTTTTTTCCGATAGTTAAAGCGCTTTTCAAAATGATAAATAACAATGTTACGTAAATGTCAGACCTGTAGCCTTAATTAACAATTTATGCATTTGAAAAGTTCATATAAATAGAAAATAAATATCCATTCACGTATTGGCCCGTAACATTCAATAACCACATTTAATATTCCAACAATGCCATCGAAAAATGAAATATACAAGTGGATATTCCTCGGAACGCATCGATTTTTGCGAAACAACTGAATCCCCGCAATCCAATGCTACTGCACTTAATTTAAAGCCCTTTTGCTCTTGTACAATAAATATCTTCCAGTTCATCGAATCATATTGCATTGGGTGCCCGGGGCTTATGCAAAACATTTACTTTAAGTGAATATAATTTATTCCTCAAGGGAAAGAGAGGACATGATAAGAAATCTGAAGATTATTTATTATTTCTTATCCGTCTCCGAAATGAATTTCCTTCCACGTAGTTTGAGCAGCATGGTGAGCGCCGCAGGGCAGATCTGTTCTCATTTCGTTTTCGACTGATCTGGAAAAATGCAAATACTGCATCAGCCGCTTTTCATTGAGATGAATAAACTATAGAGAAGAATTCCCTTTTCAGATGTAAGAAAGGGGAACTTACTCGGTTAAATTTTTTGTTAGATCGCTTCTTGTTGTTTTTTGCTTTATGGAACCAAAATAGGAGACTACACAGACTTTACTGTATCCATTTTGCTTTGTGTTTTCTGTGTGTAGTGTAGATTGTGTATGTTTTTCCGAATAACCATCTTTATTAAAATTGAGTCTTCCTTTCTTTTGATACCTTGCAGACTCGGGCTGAGAAAATACGTATTGTTCTGATGTATATACTGGCATGTCTACTACTGAAATGAGTATTTGCGAAGTTCCTTTTCGAGATTTATCTTCGCATGGTAGTCTAAGTTGGTTGTCGAAAAGGATTTTATTTGTATTGACATTTTATTTGCAGGAGAAAGTGTATAAAAGGATAGAGTATATAAATATTTTAGAAATTCTGTTTTTAAACTATTTTTGGGAGCTTGTATTTAAGTGTATCTGTAATATATGAAAGGGAATATTACTCTGCAAATAGTGAAAGATTTAACAAAAATATTTTATAATATAAATATAAAATATATTCGTTAATCGTTAAAAGAACTCGAGCCTGTATTCCGTTTAGTTAAAACCATTTGTAAATTTTTGTTTGTTTAAGATCAAGGGGACACATACATACAATAGTATGTTAAGGACAATGTCTTATGGGAAGACTTTTAGGGTAACTTCCCCACATTTACATAATGATTGGGTTCCCCCTAGTTATAACCCAAGTTCTTTATTTAATATACTGTACGATAATTTCAATGAATTTCAGCAGTTGACAATAACACATATGATAGATACATATGGGTTAGCCGCATGATATGGTATTGGCAGAAACTCTTTCAATGCATCATAATTTCCTTTTCTTAAAGTTCATGTCTAAGAAAACTATAACATTTAATGTAATTATTTACTAGAATTTGGTAAGTATATCACTCGTTTGCAAGATAAAAAAACACAAGTCAAAAACTTTTAACTCCACAAAAAGAAATATGTAAAGCTTGCCATTGTTATTAATAAAAACAAACTGTCGTAACGTACTGTAAATTAAATCACTATTTTTGTGATGCTATTTCCATTTAATAAGTAATAAATAATAATTTAATAATTTTTCAAAGATGCAAAGGAACCCGTTTCCGTGGTAATGAACAGGCCCAACGGTAACGCCACAGTTAGCATGCAGGAAACTTGTGTTCGAATCCTCTAGTGGTGTCCTACATAGACTTTACAATAGCCATTTTTATTTGTGCTTTCTTGTACTGTAGATTATGTATGTTTTTCGAATAGCCAGATGCAGGTTCAGAGGGAATAAAAAAATTGTGTCTTCCTTTCTTTTGATACATCACAGACTTGGGCTGAGAAGATATGCATTGCTCTGATGTTTAGACTGGCATGTCTACTACTGAGATGAGTATTTGCGAAATTCCTTTTCGAATTTTATATTCTTAGGGTTCTATGGCGACGGGTGTAAGTTGGTTGTCGAAAAGGATTTTATTTGTATTGTCATTTTATTTGCAGGAGAAAGTATATAAGACATATTGAGAGAGTATATAAATATTTTAAAAACCCAGTTTCTAAACTTTTTTTTGGAGGGTGTATTTAGATGTATCTACAATGTATGAGAGGGGAGATTACCTTGCAACTATAGAAATATTTAACAAAAGTCTTTTTATAATATTAATGGAAAAATGATCGTTAAAACTTGAAAAGAACGCGAGGCTGCATTCCATTTAGTTAAAATTATTTATAAATCTTTGTTTGTTTAACATCTATGAGACTCATACATACAATATGTGAGTTAAGGACATTATCTTTCTAAAATATTTTTAGTGTAACTTCCTAATTTTGTTATTTTTTAACTGAATTAACTACCTTAGTCCTAGGAGGCCCTTTCTTTTTAAATGCAATTAATGTAAATATATTATTGTAACTGATATCATTTTATGTACACTGGTCTTTTATATCTACTGATCTTTTTATTTTATTTTATGGAAATGTTGTTAACACTTATCTCTCAATATTCAGTAGCTTAAGACGAATTTGTCGTGTAATTTATAATGTTGTGATGTTTAATTGATGAGGGATTTTAACGCGTTATTGCAAAACACAACTCATAAGTATTAATTTGTTTAAGTTAGGGTGTGACTAGTTTGGTGGTATTTTGGCGGAATTAGTTAATGTGGATCCTTTCGGAAACTGGTGATTTATGTAAATATTTTAATGGTTGATATTAATTTCGTTGTATTAAGATGAATTTGGAATATTAGTGGAAGATATCAAATTAATTAATTTAATATTAACTCCACAACACCACACCAAGTTCCGAAAAATAAATATGTGAAATGCTCCAAAGGTGACCATGACAATACAGAATCCACTAATTTAACCTACATAAGTGGAAAGATGAACAGGATTGTAGAGAATTAATTCAACCTACGTATTACCATGTTTATAATTGTATTTAAAAAAACGAGAAATATGAATAAAATTTCGTTGCAATCTGATACAAATACAAATAATACATGACAACAACTCATATGATATACGACCGATAGTGACATACAAATGTTACAAATAATCTATGAAGATAATAATCCATACATACTCTTCGATGAAGAACTGTTTAATGATAACTACCATGAAATTGCATGGCGTATGGAAGATGAACTGGACACTCTCTATGAAAACTCTCATCAATAGTCTGACTATGGATTATAGGCGATGCACACACGTTGTTACAATCGCCACAGAGACTCCCTTTTCTGAAAACAACGAATACATTTGACTCAGCACACGATTATCCTTACAACCCAATAAGAAATAATATATAAGGTGTAAATCTTTTATGAGGCTTCCATATAGGAACGGCAAGCTTCTCTATATACGATGTCTTAATAAAAATCCACCCAACAGCAATCCTCATCCCACTTGTGTTCTGAAATTGAACCAAAGTCTGAAACCAATCGACTGTTACTCCCTTCTTGTCGAACCGCATGCGGCAAAATAAACAATAACATCATTACCATTCCGCTCCAGAGAAAGGGAGAAAAGCCGCAGCAGAAAAAAAAAAACCACTGTTGGGGGGGAGAGGGCAACAGACAGAACTGGAAATATTCATCTTTCGATTTCAAGCTTGCTTTGCCTGGCAGGCATGGAAATTGCACCCCTTTCATTGTTCGAGGTCATTATCTGTTGGGTCGGTGAGCGGTGCATTTGAAATATGGGGGCCGTGCCAGTGCCAATATGTTCTCGGGAAGGATCTTGTTAGGGTGTGCGCTCCAATTGTCTTCGCGTCGTCTCCCATCGATTGGATTAGGCCACGGAATGTTTGTTTCGACATTTATGTTCTGCTTTTTTTTTTTTTTGCTCGTCTGTATGTCGAGTGGAAGTAAAGAGACAGTCTCTGATAAAGTGTCTGGCATAAGGAGTCATTGATTTGGAATGTTATAGAGTTCCGGAAAATACTGTGCTGTCTGTTTTCATTTATCTCTCCAAGGCATTTGGAGATGTGTCATAACATATACTTTTTATGAAAAAATTTTGATTTAAAATGGTGTACAGTACTAGAAAGTATGCAGTCTTTGTATAATGTCTTGTTGTTGTTTTGTTGTTGTTTCTTATCCCACTTGGCTGGCCAAGCCCACGAGCCCATATGGACTCATGATTGAAGGGGAAGGAAGCAGCTTCTGTTGTGACGGAGCACCTGTAGGTAGAAGCCTGACTTTTGCTCCGTGACGCTCTTACAGTCATAGAAGACCGGGACCTACTGCTTAAAGTGGATTCCGAACCACTACAAACATCCATGGCACCGCCGGGATTCGAACCCGAAACCTGTGGCACCGAGCGCCAGAGCGCTAGACACTCGGCCATTCAGGTCCCAAATTTGCCAACAGCACGCAGTGTTCCCAGGTGGTAATTGACCGCGCCCAATGATGCTTAACTTCGGTGATCTAACGAGAACCGGTATATTCAGCATGGTTCAGCATAATGTCTTGTCAAATAATACAAGATTCATCTAATTACAAATTAGTGTTAATTCTGTAATTTTGCAAAATGTAAATTGAATGAAAGGAGACATGTCACAGTATAAGCAATAAAGAGGGGGCGTTTCTTTTGAAAAAAAGGACGACAATGGACCGTCTGATTTCAATTATCTCCACGGCATTTGAAATGTGTGTCATAACTTATACTTTTTATTAAAAAGTTGATTTAAAATAGTGTACAATTCCAGAAATTCTTATTCAATCTTGAATAACATTTTGTCGAATAATACAAGACTCATATCATTTCAAATTAATATTTATTCCATATGGTAAATTTTTCAAAATTTAAATTGAATGAAAGGAGAGATATCACAGTATGAATAATACTTCCGGAAATACTGTGGGTTTGTGCTGTCTGTTTTCCTTTACCTCCAAGACATTTGGATATGTGTCATAACATATACACTTTAGAAAAAAAAATTGATTTAAAATGGTGTACAGTTCTAGAAAGCATGCAGTCTTGAACAATATTTTGTCGGATAATATAAGACTCATATTTTTCAAATTAATGTTAATTCCGTATTGTTAATTTTTCAAAATTTAAGTTTAGTGAAAAGAGAGATGTCACAGTATAAACAATAAAGACGGGTCTTTTATTTTGAAAATAATGGAGGCAATGTGAATGTTAAATGAAGACGATGTGTGTCATTTGCTTTCATTTATCTTCAAGGCATTTGGAGATGTGTCATAACATATACACTTTAGAAAAAAAATTGATTTAAAATGGTGTACAGTTCTAGAAAGCATGCAGTCTTGAACAATATTTTGTCGGATAATATAAGACTCATATTTTTCAAATTAATGTTAATTCCGTATTGTTAATTTTTCAAAATTTAAGTTTAGTGAAAAGAGAGATGTCACAGTATAAACAATAAAGACGGGTCTTTTATCTTGAAAATAATGGAGGCATTGTGAATGTTAAATGAAGACGATGTGTGTCATTTGCTTTCATTTATCTCCAAGACATTTGGAGATGTGTCATAACATATACACTTTAGAAAAAAAATTGATTTAAAATGGTGTACAGTTCTAGAAAGCTTGCAGTCTTGAACAAAATTTTGTCGGATAATATAAGACTCATATTTTTCAAATTAATGTTAATTCCGTATTGTTAATTTTTCAAAATTTAAGTTTAGTGAAAGGAGAGATGTCACAGTATAAACAATAAAGACGGGTCTTTTATTTTGAAAATAATGGAGGCAATGTGAATGTTAAATGAAGACAATATGTGTCATTTGCTTTCATTTATCTCCAAGGCATTTGGAGATGTGTCATAACATATACACTTTAGAATAAAATTGATTTAAAATGGTGTACAGCTCTAGAAAGCATGCAGTCTTGAACAATATTTTGTCGGATAATATAAGACTCATATTTTTCAAATTAATGTTAATTCCGTATTGTTAATTTTTCAAAATTTAAGTTCAGTGAAAGGAGAGATGTCACAGTATAAACAATAAAGACGGGTCTTTTATTTTGAAAATAATGGAGGCAATGTGAATGTTAAATGAAGACGATGTGTGTCATTTGCTTTCATTTATCTCCAAGACATTTGGAGATGTGTCATGACATATACACTTTAGAAAAAAAATTGATTTAAAATGGTGTACAGTTCTAGAAAGCATGCAGTCTTGAACAATATTTTGTCGGATAATATAAGACTCATATTTTTCAAATTAATGTTAATTCCGTATTGTTAATTTTTCAAAATTTAAGTTTAGTGAAAGGAGAGATGTCACAGTATAAACAATAAAGACGGGTCTTTTATTTTGAAAATAATGGAGGCATTGTGAATGTTAAATGAAGACGATGTGTGTCATTTGCTTTCATTTATCTCCAAGACATTTGGAGATGTGTCATAACATATACACTTTAGAAAAAAAATTGATTTAAAATGGTGTACAGCTCTAGAAAGCATGCAGTCTTGAACAATATTTTGTCGGATAATATAAGACTCATATTTTTCAAATTAATGTTAATTCCGTATTGTTAATTTTTCAAAATTTAAGTTTAGTGAAAGGAGAGATGTCACAGTATAAACAATAAAGACGGGTCTTTTATTTTGAAAATAATGGAGGCAATGTGAATGTTAAATGAAGACGATGTGTGTCATTTGCTTTCATTTATCTTCAAGGCATTTGGAGATGTGTCATAACATATACACTTTAGAATAAAATTGATTTAAAATGGTGTACAGCTCTAGAAAGCATGCAGTCTTGAACAATATTTTGTCGGATAATATAAGACTCATATTTTTCAAATTAATGTTAATTCCGTATTGTTAATTTTTCAAAATTTAAGTTTAGTGAAAGGAGAGATGTCACAGTATAAACAATAAAGACGGGTCTTTTATTTTGAAAATAATGGAGGCAATGTGAATGTTAAATGAAGACGATGTGTGTCATTTGCTTTCATTTATCTTCAAGGCATTTGGAGATGTGTCATAACATATACATTTTAGAATAAAATTGATTTAAAATGGTGTACAGCTCTAGAAAGCATGCAGTCTTGAACAATATTTTGTCGGATAATATAAGACTCATATTTTTCAAATTAATGTTAATTCCGTATTGTTAATTTTTCAAAATTTAAGTTTAGTGAAAGGAGAGATGTCACAGTATAAACAATAAAGACGGGTCTTTTATTTTGAAAATAATGGAGGCAATGTGAATGTTAAATGAAGACGATGTGATGCTTTCATTTATCTCCAAGGCATTTGAAGATGTGTCATAACATATACTTTTTAGAAAAAAATGTGATTGAAAATGGTGTACAGTTCCTGAAAGTATATGACCTTGAATAATGCTTTGTGGAATAATACTATACAAGACTCATATGATTTCAAATTAAAGTTAATTCCGTATTGTTGATTTTTCAAATGTAAATTGGATGAAATGAGAGATGTCACAGTATAAGCAATTAAAAACGCTAATGGGTCATTTATTTTGAAAAGAATGAAGATAATGTCTTGCCAGCAAAGACATCTTTATTTGCATAATATCACTCAGTAATCACTATGAATTTCAGTATGAATTTTTTAAATAGCTCTAAATGAAGTACATACCCACTAAATTATTTGTAGGCAAAATAATTTAAATAGAATGATGATGTTTTTATGGAGCTTGATGCCGAATGACTAGTATCCGGTGCCATAGGTTTCGGGATCGCGTCCCGGTAGTGTCGTGGATGTTTGTAGTTCGGAATTCACTTTATATCGTAAGTCCCGGTCTAATATGAAGACAAAGCGTTGGGCATAGTGCGGACAGCCTTATCCTGTAAAACAAAACCATCTCCTGTCTCGAAATCTGCCAATAGGTACACAGCCTTCGCCCACATTGGGCCGTAGTGCCAGGGAGTTAGTTAGATTTTGTAATGTGTATTATTAATGAATTCGATAAATATAAAATGTATTTGTGAGGTATTTAGCAGTTATTTAAAGGCTTGGAATCCACTTTTAAAAGTATGCCCCTATCGAATATGACTCTTAGGCGTAGAGCTCACAACCCTACCCCGTAAAAAGAAAACATCTCATGTTTCGGAATCTGGCAGAAGGCTTTGGCCCACCAATGGGCTGTTACACCAATGAGGAAAAGAGAAAATATTTTTATAGACAGGGTAAAACTTTCATTAATTTTTTGGTTAAGCAAAAGATACTTTATGAAAGCTAAGGTGATTACAATAATTGTAAAAGACATTACTCAACAAAAATATTCCTATACCCCCTTTTAATTCTTATAGGTTTGATTTGAAAAAGCTAAATAAAACATTTATAAATCAAAATTTTTTCATTCCTCAATTTATGTGTTATTTATCATTTTGTTTAATTTATTTTTGTGAATTTAATTTGAAATCTGAGGAATCTGAGAATAATTTTGTTTTTCAATAACACAATTCGATAAAATGTGAATAGTCAATATTTCAAAACAATACAAATACGATATTAAAATACTGAAAATTTTCCTAAAATTTAAATTGCTCGTAATATCATTTAATAAACAGCAAATCATAAGAATTTGTTTACTTATATTTATTTGTTAGTAACAGATATGACACTGGTCCGGTACTCATTGCCACAGAATTTCGGGCCGCGGCGGGGCATGGGTAAGCTACCCAGAGATAACTGTGGGTATCATGGTATTCCATAAGAGACAGTAGCAGATTCTATTGTGATGGAGCACCCGTAGGTAGAAGTCTGATTGGGCTCCATGTCACTGAAGAAGAAGTGCAGTGTTTTCTCGCAGGGGTTTTAGGGGAAAATACTCTCATTTGCGTATCGTATATGAAGAAAACTCCCAACCAGGTAGTCCGTCTCACGAGGCAAGATGCTGAATACCCTCCAGTCTTCTGAGTTTTTGAAACAATGTCTGCAACAAAGCCGCCAGTGGAGGGAACCTCAGCCCTAAGGCCCACTAACTACTAGGGGGCCTTAGGGCTGAGGGGGCCTTAGGCTTTTCGGGGCACTAGGCCACTCTAAATGCCCCGAATCGGGCATTTTAGAGTTAGAACAACAAAAGATTTTAAAATGGAAAGAACAATCAGGAAATAGAAAGTCCATTTTTTTTAAATTATGCTACATTATTAGATATTATGTAGCATATTAGGTATTATTTTGATTAGGTATAATTTTATTATTATTTTATTTTAATTATTTTAATTTTTTTTTTTTAAAACGAATAAGAATGCATCTCAATAAATATCCAATAAAGGCGGGGAAGAAAAAGCAACAAAAAATATTGCATTAAATAATGTTATTGTTCTAATGCATCTGGCAATACAGAGATAGTTAATCTTTATGTCATAAGCACCGCTGTTACTCATTTAGCACTATTCAGAAGATCGTGTAGCTTAAAGATATCTTACGGGCGCGAGTAACACAACAACCACAAAACTCTACGATCCAATTAGATTAGGGCCTACTGTTTAAAATAGATTTCGA